TTCTGGCGCATAAAATTGATCATAATCATAAATGTGAGATATGTATTGAAGCAAAATTGACTAAAACACCGCTTCATTCAATACAAAGGAACATAACTCTTCTTAAATTGATCCAGAGCGATATATGCAATCTAAAATTTGTACAAACGTAAGGTGATAAGAAATACTATGTAACATTTATTGATGATTATATAAAGTTTTGTTATGTCTTTCTTTTGAGAAGTAAAGACGAAGCTCTAAATATATTCAAAACCTATAAGGTTGAAGTTGAAACACAACTTGAAAAACGAACAAAGAATGTTCGTAGTAATAGAGGAGGTGAATAAGAGGAACCATTTGAAGACTTTTGTTCCGAACATGGAATTGTTCATCAAACAACATCACTTTACTCTCATCAATCGAATGGTGTTGCTGAACACAAAAATCGAACACTTAAAGAAATGATGAATGTCATGTTAATAAATTCGAGTTTACCACAGAACATGTGAGGGGAGGCTATTTTAACGGCAAATAGTTTTCTTAATAAAATACCCCTTAAGAAAATGGAAGAGACCCCGTATGAATTATGGAAAGGTCATCCTCCATCTTACCAATACTTGAAAGTGTGGGGGTGTTTGATTAAAGTTGAGATACCTAAGCCTAAACAAATGAAAATTGGTCCAAAAATGATAGATTGCATATTTATTGGATACGTCAATAATAGTAGTGTATATCAATTCTTGTACACAAATTTGAAATACAAGACGTACATGAGGGAACCATAATCGAATTAAGGAATGCAACTTTCTTTGAAAATATCTTTCCTTGCAAAGATAAGGAAAATACGAGTTCTAATAACAGAACGTATGAAACTACAAACGGAGCTTCAAATAAGGAAGAATCAAGGCGTAGTAAAAGGCTCGGACTTCCAAGACATTTGGCCTAGATTTTCTAACCTATATGGCAGAAAATGATCCAAAGACTTTCGATGAAGCAATGTCTACACCGAAATCACCGCATTGGAAAGAAGCTATTCATAGTGAGATAAGTTCTATAATGCAAAATCATACGTGGGAGTTAATTGATTTACCTCCGGGTAACAAGCCTTTAGAATGCAAATAGATATTCAAAAAGAAATTGAAACTTGACGAATTCATTGATAAATATAAGGCTAGATT